GGGGGGGGGGGGGGGGGGGGGGGGGGGGGGGGGGGGGGGGGGGGGGGGGGGGGGGGGGGGGCGGTGAGAATAACTTCATTTTTTTCAAAAAATCAAGTCATCTATGAAATAAGAAATGGTTATGTGAATATGTTTCCTCTGAAATATTATTCTGAACAAAAAACGATTTTAAAACAACGCCCAAACTAGCCCCAAATCTAATGAATATGAGAAAACAAATCGTACAAGAATTAAAACACCATAAATGGCTTAACTCATAACTTTTACATACAAGAGGAGGGTAAAACATCACAAAGGTACGGAATTTCAAATGCATAGCTCACCACCAAATGCCCCTAAGCAAAGACCCATACGAATTGGAACATACGAGCAATGAACTCAAAAGAAGGCTGGATCATATGTCTCATGCAACAAAAGAAGAGATCCACACATGCAGATGTTCCAAGTTTTTAATGGAGGAAAAAGGAACAGAGAATTAAATTTGGGCTCACAGAACTTACTGCAGAATCCGTCTTGCTAGATTTACCAGTAGTACTAGAGCCTTTCTTTCCAGTAGTTGCCACACGGGCACCAGAGTTAACACGACTTGGACCACCAGACTTTGCACCACGAGTAGTAGTATTTGGTCTGGTGGAACCACGAGCCCAAGCCCCATCCTGTGGTGACTTCCTCATACCAACTTGACCAGCCCTTGCAGGCCTTCTACTTGAAGAGTCCCTACTTGGCGGCCTCCAGACATCAGGATCATCCATGGAAGGAGCTGAAGAAGTTGGATACTCTTCTAACGGTTGAAAAACAAATGACGACTTAGCATGAATTGGAGGAGAAGCTGCACGTCGACCCATGGGTATTTCCTTAAAAGCTTTTCTCTCTGTATCTAACTGCTTCACAACTTCTATTTCCTCAGTAAGGGATTTTTTCACATTCATCCATTTTGCACGCATTAAAGGGTCATCTACTGAACTAAGATGCCTAAAATTGATAAATCAGTAAACTTCAGTGAGAACCATACCGAAGAAAACCATACCTAAAAACATTAAAAAAAAAAAAAAAAAAAAAAAAAAAAAAAAAAAAAAAAAAAAAAAAAAAAAAAAAAAAAAAAAAAAAAAAAAAA